GCACCTTTAACCTGTTTTTTTCTTCATGTTGTTTCTGTGCACCTTGACCTACCATCTGAAGGGCTGAACAATTCCATTCCCTTATTTGCACAGGAACATAAAAGATATTTGTAGAATGCAGCAAAACAAATCCTTACCTACAGCAAGCAATTTTCAGTAAACTATGAAAAATTGTCCCTTTTTTGCCAAAAGAATTTCTGTTCAACCATCTTTGTAGCTGCATAGTCCTTCCAGGACTGTGGGGACCCAAACAAAAGCACAAAGCACTGCAGGTGCAGCCCTGCTGGGACAATAAAGAGGCATATCATCACCTCCCTGCACGCTTACTGAGAAAACATGTTTCTTCAAGGACAGTACACCTTCTCTCTTTATCTCCTTCACCCTCTCCCCACTAGTTTTAGGAGCAAAAGCCGGGTTTAATGTCCCAAAAATGTTTGGACAAAAAAGTTTTCAGCTGATTTTTTGAAGGACAGCAATTTATTACCCTGTTATAAGCAGTCCTAAATCTCACTTTGCTGCACACACCCTGTAAGTCTGAAACCCAGAGGTGAGGAGTCTCCCTCCCTGATTCCAGATCTGGGCTTTTTGGCTCTGTCCCAGCTGCTCTGTGGGAATATGAAGTCTCCCTCTCTTCTCCCCTCTCCCCTCTCCTTTCAATCACTGCTAGCCCTCTCCCCCTTTCCCAACAACTCCAGTATATCCCCTGCTTTCCTCCTCCCTCCCTGCCCAGCTCCCCTTGTAGCTGCTCCAGATCTTCCAACTCCCAATTTTCCTCCTGAGCATCCAACTTGAGCTGCCTTTTGCCACCTGCCAAGGACACAAGGAGCAATGGAGACACCAGCATCACTGCCTGCTGTTAATATTCCCAGGGGCAGCGGTGCGGGGCAGCATGATGGTGGGGACAGCCCATGAAGGCATGAAAGTCCTGGGACTGATCAGAAAGACCTCCCTTACTCCATGGCATGGCACCAAGGAGCATAGTTAAGACACATTTGCTAACTTTTGCCAGAGATGTTGGCAAGAGCTATTTGGCACTCTGGAAAGAAAAAGGTCTTTGTGTCTCGTCTTGACACCCTTCGGGTCCCATCTGTGGTTTCCTCCTTTCCAGTGACAAGCACAGTAGCTGTTGTGAAACATGATGACTCACAGCTGCAGGCTACAAGGGGAAGGTAAGGTAAAGGCAGAACAGGAACAGAGAGAGACAGGAGGGAAAGGTGTCACTAACCAGCTTCCAAGTCATCCCTACGTAGCTACCACTGGCTTCTGTGCAGTACGATATACACATATCTTCAGCTTTCCCTGGCTAAATCTGTGGGATGAGGAGGAACCTGAGAACAGCCACCCTATGTTATACATCACTGCCTGAGAGCAGCAGGAGAGTCACTGTGCTCTTTTAACCAGAAAATGCTGCAGGAACTGCCTCCTTTAACAGTGGCAAGTTGGGAAGAGCCTGTCAAGCATCTAATCTAGGAGGAAAGCAGCACTTCGAGAAGGCCAAGGGGAACATGTCTGGATGAAGATATGCTGAAACTGCCGTTACTGTTGCCTTTCATGAAAATTGGCAGCGATCACCCATCCTGGCTGCTCTGCTTCACCATATGTCCCATCTACAGTGGCACCACAAATATGCTGGGAAAAATCTTCCTGTGCCAAATGTTTCAAGCACAAATATAGAAGGATAGAAGTCTTTTAGGATGCTGATTTGATTCACACCTAACATATTTTTCATGCAGCAATTTGAATATAAATATGATAGTGTCGTAGACACAGGGCATCTATTCCAGCAGCATCAAGTGCTGCAGTACTGAATGCTTGCAGAAACACACCTGCTTAGATCCAAAATGCTACTGTAGAGCAGGACCAGGTATTTCTTAGGCTGCTAAGAAAACAGTTTCCCACCTTAGAAAATGTGTTTACAGCCTCTTAAGTGTACCTGCTCCATGACAAAGATGGTGCTATTGACAGCCCTGAGTGAAGAAACCAAGACAGAGGGACTCACTTCCCAGCACAGGCAGCACAAGGGCAGCTTGCTCGTGCTACAGAACAGTTCAACTCAAATGAGTGGTCCACTTAATTCAGGTGAAAAACTTGAACCTCAGCCTATCACGTATCAGTCTTGAAACTAATTTCAGTTAAACTGATCTTCCCTCTCTCCAGGAAGGTAATTCTGTGTTGGATTGTGCTTGCTTCTGGTTCAAACCACATTTATTCCCATCAGAGAACTTAATTTTCAATTAATTGCATTTTTTTGACCAAAACCAAACACAAAACATTGTCATTTAAAAATGTCCAGCCAATTCTCATGAAAATCTGCACTGAGGACTGCTTGTCTCAGTGTTTCTATGAGAGCTGACAGTTGCTGAAATATAGGCACTAGGATTGCTAGCGTTGACAGGGCTTTAAAGCATCATCACACAGAGTAGCCATTAGAGGTTATATTTCATTGGAAGTAATGTAATTCAATTACCATCACTCTTTAGTATGTCTCATCTCTGGAGGCTGACAATAAGCCATATCATCCATCAGATTTTAACCTGAACTTTGCATTCTGGCCCTGTAGATTGCCAGTTCTCCATTATGAATGGCTTTATATTTTTAGCATCATTTCATAGGGAAAAAAGGTTATCCAATTATATTATACATCCATCTGCCTGCCCGTCTGTCCTTCCCTAGCTTTTCAATCAGTTTCAATCAGGAGGCAAAGGTCTTCAAGAAAATTAAGTTCCTATCAGTTTTGCAACTAATCAGAGGCAGGGTAAAGAAGAGAAATCATTTGCACGTCCCACTTGGGAGTGATAAGCTATGCAATCCTTGCAAACTGACAATCTAGTGAGCAGGAACAGCTAACTCTGTCTCTTTCTCATGCAAGAAACACACAAGCTTGAGAAATTTGTGTTACTGCAGGAACTGAAAGTCAGAGGCACCCATGTCTTGGACTGTGAGACACAAAATCCTAGGAAAACAGGTTCCCTTAGAACTGGTATTCATGAGACAACTACTTTATTAATACAGTGAGTTTAATAATTTACAAATAATTTCTTGTGCATATTTCCTCAGCAAAGAATGTTTTGAGTAGTTACTCTGACAGTCAACCGCACTGCAAACACAAAATATAAACTGCACAGAAGAGTGACGTAACATTTGCTTTTCCAAATCTATGCATTTGAGTTCTATCAATAACCACATTTTCTTTTTGTGAATATCTGAAGTGCAGAGTAACTGATTTACTATGTTTACCTGTTTAAATGATTACTCTTACTGATGATTACCAACATTAATGATTTATATTACTTTTGCTGTTCTGCCTTTTTGCTGTCTGAACTATAAAAGTACTTCACCAGTTCTTTATCCCATTCATCAGCTGCACAAGGATTGTGACTTACGACAACTTACTCACTCCTCACAGGCAACTTGTTTACATTTGTCATTGCATCCATTTGCTTTCTCTCTTCCTCTCCATCCTTCCAACCTTTTCCTCCTTCATATTGCCATTTAGCAAAGGCCTTTTCTTTGGCCTTTCCCACTCACTGGTTCTCACAATCTGTGCATCTCCTCCCATGTCCACACATTCTCCATCCCAGCTTTGGCCTTCATTCTACCACCTCTTCTTCTGCCTCCCATATACACTGTCATGATCTGTACCTCCTCGCTTCCTCCCTCAGCTGGCTTTTCACTCAGATCACAGTCCCCTTTCCCTCTCTACTTTCCCTCTCTCACACAAAATGTTACTAGGAAGGGATCGGTGAACCTGGACACCCCTGTAAAAACACTTCTGCTGTCCTTCCTGATCTTGCTTCCTCATGTTCCACCATGGATCATGTATATGGAAGCTGAACTTCCCTCTTGCTCTCTCTGTTTTCACCTGCCCATTCATCACCATCTTCTCATTTCCTCCCACTCTCACTGCTGCCCCACTCAGCTTTCCTCCCCACCCTTTTCCCAGTTACAATTACTCTCCTCTGATACTGGTACCTTCAGCTACACAGGCTTAGGCTACACCTAAAGCCTTTTTGCAAAATTTACACAATCAATAAGTTGACCTTTGCCACCTCCTCCTCCATGTTTCTACTGAACCCCCATGGATACACAGCCTCCCTTCGCTCTAGGCATTTGCTTACTCTTCAAGACTCCCATCCTCTTCCTCAAATAAAACTCCTTCTCAAGTCCTTGTCAACTTTGGAGGTTGAGACTTTGCTGTTAGAAAAGGCAGCCGGCCTATTACTAGTTTGGGAGTCGCCTTCTTGATTTCAGCAGATTTCAGATTCCCCATGCATATGATCTACCCAGGGTGTGAACCCCAGTGTACATCAGATGTCTCAACTATTGCCAGGTAAGGGTCACACACACACACACCATTCTGCCACAAGGCAGGCTATGTTGCCAAGAACAGTCACCCATCAGCTGCAGGTAGGCTGAATCGCCAGCCTAACTCCCATGTCTAAAAGTACGAGTTTTACTCCTACCTCACACCCGTTACTCGCTCCTGCTGCCATCATCCCTCAGAGACCACCAGGTAAACTTTCAGGACAAGACCACCAAGCCTTTTGTGCTCATTCCTATACCTTTTTACAACTTTTATCCACTCCTATTTCTCATTTTCTCATCCACATATGCTGTCCTTCACCTCCCCCTCTATTTTCATCAGTTCCTAAAAAACTCTGCCTACACGCAAAAGGTCTCACTTTAGGTCTTTACTGAAAGGACACGTTTACAAACCTTACAGTACTTCTTTTAGTTTTCGGTGACTAGCTCTGACCATCAGTCTCCATTGCTTTTATCTAAATTGTTGGTCATACGCATTATTACTCATTCCTGATTTTGTCCCCTCTCCCGTATTTGTTATACCACCCACAGGGTGTTGCTTTGAGTTAGACTTCAAGCTATTTAGAACAGAAACAGTGCTCTAAAACATCTAATGCAACGGGGGCTTGCAGGAGCTGGCAAGTGTTTTTCCCACAGACTATAAGGATCACAACTGCCCAGGGCCAGCAGGAACTTACCGAGCCGTACAGTTCCCCTTTCTCATTCATTCCAAGGTAGAGTCCACTGTCGACTCCTCGGATGCTGACCAAGCCCACTGCTATACTGATAAATTCCAGTATACCTACAAAAAGCAGGAAAAAACAAACAATGTACATATTGTTTCCATCGAAAGATTTTTTTTTCTGATGCCTGAGCAACAAGCAGCTATTTTCACAGATGTTTTCCCATTTTCAATGTTGTTTGAAGATGAGGAACAAATGGCTGTATCTTTAAGTACAATACTTGACCAGTGAAGTTCTTTGAGTTTCTGCTAGAATGATGCATTGCAGACAGCATGAACATACCAAATTTAAAAATTACTCTCAGTCTTTCTCATGATTTCTAAACACAGATCTAAACGTTGGTCATATTCTGGTTTGCACAACAAGTAATAATTTGAAGAAAAAGCAGTATTAAAGAACCTGTGAAATTTGTCTTGCAAAGTAACTTCTGAAAAAGTACATTTCAATCAGAATTGTGAGAGAAAAACAATGTTACACGCGGAACCAAAAGATCTACTTCTAGGCATCAGGAATCAGGAATATGGGAAAAGATTTACTCACAGTATAATCTTCCAGAGGCTTGAGAACTGAAAATCCTTAGTATAGTCTCACACATTTCTGTGTAGATAGTAACTGTTCTCTCTGGTGTGTTATTTTTAACTCATCTCAGTTTTGAAAATTAATATATTCTAAACCTAAGTAATAGTGTATAAATGATTAATTATTCCCATGCACATAACAACAAGCTCACATGGACATTTGTGCACTAGAGACAAGAACATTTTGCCAAGAAGCCCTGCTTCTACAAAGCTCCTAAGTTCAGCATCAATGTCCATGATACAGCAAGTATCTGTATCAAATAGAAGGCTTGGGATTTTTTTGGCATCCTTCCCTCTTCTATGAGGGTGCTACCAGCCAAACTTTGAATAAACCTACAAGTCCTGTGGAAAAAAGGGAAACTGATTCCTATGTGGGAATGCTTGTGTAGGACTAGAGTTAGCCAGCAATATTCAGAAGCACACTCCTGCATTATGCTACTTTCTGAGCCACAAAATAAAGCCCAGAGTAGCATTTTCAATATATTCTTGTGAATTTGCATGTCTAAGCACACCATGTAACTACTTTTAAAGCTTAATGGAAACTATATTTAGATGAAATAATAAAACAGCCACGTAGTATGTGTTGAGCTTCATGTGGCCACTAGGAAAGCACTTTCATGGATTTTCTGAACAATTAATTTGGCATCTCCCACAATATAGTTGTGCAATAATCAATAACAGGCATGAATCACATAAATCTAACACAGCAGAAGTTGAAGCCAATAGGGAAAATTTATGGCCAAGCTAATGTAAAGATGAAATGTATTCCCTGTAAGGGACTATTGATCATTACCTTATATATTATTCAGTACTACAAACACCATATTCTTACTGGTTTAATAACTCTGGTTTTAGATGTGGGCATCTTAAATTATTCTCTACATATGAACAAAGAAAAAATACTGGGAAGAATTATTTAGTAATTACTGATTTTTTTTTTTTAAATAATAAAAAGTGGTGGCATGCTGTTTATCTGGTATATGTAGTATCTCAGATACAATCGATCCATTGAAACAATTTAAACATTCCCATTATATCTGGACATGCAATACTTCCAGATTTCTTACTAAGGCTTTTTCTGTAAAGCTTTTACCACACTATCATATTACCTGATACATATTACCAAGCAATTTTAACTGAGGTTAAATCTTATGTTAAGTGTGTACTATACCATACTATACCTAAGTTGAAAGTCTGGCATCTTTCACCTCAGTATAAATGTAGTCTTCAATTGCTGTCCTCATTTCAAGTATTTGGGTGCATGCTGCTTAGCATGTCAAAAGAACAAAAAAGGCATTGTCACGTCTTACTGTAAGTGCAGAAAATTAATTTAAGGTACTTGGCAAAGAGTGTATCCCTGCCCATGGCATTGGGGTTGGAACTAGATGATCTTTAAGGTCTCTTCCAACCCAAACCATTCTATGATTGTATGAGTTTGAGATCGGAATATAGACTTCTTCATCTGAAATATTCAAAAGCCTATTCACAGCAAGTTGTATGTACCGTGCTGTTAAGTCCTTCAAGAGATTATCTGAGGCCAGCCATGCAGTCTTACACAAGTCTTGCCAGTTTAAGGATTGCATGATGTGGCCCAACACTCCAGTGAATATTTTCACTGCATGGTTTCTGTAATGTACAGATGGCATTCAGGACCTGAACCAGATATTAAAATAGATATTCCTATTCAAAATGAGGATGGAACAAACAAAAATCAGGCCATCTGCAAGCTTTAAAAGCTAGAGCCCTATTTATAGCCAAAAATGGGGAAAAGATGAAAAGTAGAGAGGAAATAACTGTCTCATTACATGGGATGCAGAGTATCTTCTTGTCAGACACTGAGCATTTTCTTTAATGAAACCACTTCAAGGCAAAGACCTACTCCTCCACAAAGGGGTTAGGAAGAAACTTTTGGGGAAAGTTATTCCTTATATGTCCACATTAGTCCTTCACACACCTTCCTCCACATGATCCAGCTTTGACCATTCTGAATGGCAGCAGGACGCCAGTGTGGCCATGAAGGCTAGCTCTCCTGCCAGGCTCACAGGAGAGAGGAGGTGGGTCGCTCACACAATGTGAAATTTTAACTTCCACCTAGTTTAGCTCTGGTGAAGAACAGCCCTAGAGAAGCATTTGCAACGAACATCTCTGCAGCTACACATCTTTTTGTTGTTGCTGTTCTGCCCTTTGCACATATTTGCCTTTGGCTATATATAGGCTCTCTTTGTATTGCTGGATTGAAGGAGTTTAGCTTCCTCTGAGTACCCTAACACGCCATCCACGACAACGAATACTGTAAACGAG